TTGAAAAAAAAAAAAAACTATAAAAAAAAAAAAAAAAAAAAAAAAAAAAAAACCGAAATGCACCCTACTGTTTTCCATATAAAAAGTGAATAAAATTAGAATTGGGAAAGTTGTTGAAAGGGAAAGAAAACAATAAAAGTATAATCGTGTTAGCTGGTGTCTTCAGCTGAAATTGTAAGAAATTTTCGCTGATGAATTAATAAACAGTTGGTTTTCTTTTCTATTTGTTTTTTCCTAAGTTATATTATAATGAAATTTGAAAAAGTTGGTGGAAGATAATGTTTTTACGACTAGATTAGTCGGTTTTTTTTCCCCCAACTAATTTCGCCACGTGTGTGTGTATATATTAAAGGATGACTAATTTAAAAAAAAAAAAAAAAAAAAACCAAAAATGTTGTCGTATGATAATATTTGAACACTTCGCTTTCTTGCGAAGTAATTTAGAGTGACAATTTTATTAAAAGGAGTAGCCAAAATCCTTATAAGCTGTTTAAGATATTCACATATAAACGATGTAGATTTTTACCTCAAAATGCCACCGCATGATAGCGGTGGAGCTAAGAGAGTAGAGCCGTAGGGGAAAATATCGTAAAATTTTAACTGTGGGGGCAAAATTGAAAATTATTATAAAAAAAATTGAAAATCTTTGATAAAATCTTGAAAAACCTATTGCAAAATCTTGGATTTCAAATTTAGTGTAGGGCAGTAGACCCCATTGCCTCCACTGTAGATTTGTCCATACTGCAAGATGATGACTCATTTGAGTATATAGATCCTAAGTTTAGTTTGTTTAAGCTTTAAATGAACCGACCCACATTTCATAATTTTGTTACTAGAATAGTGTCGAGTCAAAAGCTCATGAGTCATGGGTTGGTCTAAAAGTATACTTTTTAAAGCACAAATTTCTTTGAACCTTGCAATGTGAAAGAAGAATTTTGAGTTAAATAACAGCAGAATTAGGGAATTCTTAATTATTCTTGGCAATATAAAACCATAGACATTATACAAAGTGAGTTTACTAGTTACTGCTAATACTTTTGTGAGATTAGTACATAACACGTTAGATTGTGTTTGTTTGTAGTATGAAATGAAAGGTAACTTTATATGTAACAACAAAGTGTTGAACAAAAATCTTAATACATACTTGTAAAATTACAGACGAATATTGATGTATCTTGGCTAATTAAATGCTTCCGCCTTAGTCCATACTACATTTAAATTTTTTTTTTTTTTTTTTTTTTGATAACCCAGGAACCCGCAGCCGCTACCGGCGACCAGTGCGCACTAGGTAAACCTGGGGGCTGGCACAAGACCCGCAACCACACCAGCCGGTTAAATCTTCTCCAAGGAGAAGGCGGATGTCTCAAGCGTGGGTTGAACCTTCGTCGAAGCCAAACCCAGTTTCCCAGGTCATGCCCTTTGCCAACTTGGCCACACGCTCTTGACCTCATTTGAGTATATAGATCCTAAGTTAGTTTGTTTAAGCTTTAAATGAACCTACCCACATTTCATAATTTTGTTACTAGAATAGTGTCGAGTCAAAAGCTCATGAGTCATGGGTTGGTCTAAAAGTATACTTTTTAAAGCACAAATTTCTTTGACCTTGCAATGTGAAAGAAGAATTTTGAGTTAAATAACAGCAGAATTAGGGAATTCTTAATTATTCTTGGCAATATAAAACCATAGACATTATACAAAGTGAGTTTACTAGTTACTGCTAATACTTTTGTGAGATTAGTACATAACACGTTAGATTGTGTTTGTTTGTAGTATGAAATGAAAGGTAACTTTATATGTAACAACAAAGTGTTGAACAAAAATCTTAATACATACTTATAAAATTACAGACGAATATTGATGTATCTTGGCTAATTAAATGCTTCCACCTTAGTCCATACTACATTTAAATTATTGTAACTATGCATATATGTGAGTTGCGAGCGAGAGAGGGTCGAAAGCTCTCTTGTTTAATTGTTAAGAAAATTTTGTGTTCTCAATTAACATCTCTTCTTAAGCATTTGGCCATTACTAGTTAAAGAGGCAAAAGAAATAAAATAAAATAAAAACATGGTGTGGTGACTTGGAGCTAATAGAAAGCATGGTGGGGAGGTCAAGCAGCCAAAGGATATAATTCTAATATTAATCTAAAGTCGAACTTCAAACTTTAAACTTTCAAGTTTTGTAAAATACCATTAACTTTATGAATAGTGCTACGGGTACATAAACATATACATAGGGGTGTCCATAATGCCACGTGGCACTCTATCATTTGCTTGTTTAAAATAAAATCAAGTTTTTCAACCAATCTTTTTTCTCTACATCACATTATATCATCCTTTATGTATATTAATTATGTACATCTAGCAAAATCCTTTATTTGGATAGATACTTCTCCAATCTGTGAATATTTTGAATATTATGAGTATCCTCGCTTGATGAAAATATCTACTTAAAAATTAAATTTCCAGGTGACATACACATTATATTTAACCGAAAGGCTAAAATAGTCCAAAATTTTGTTTTATTCCGAAAATCGAATCATTCAAGTTGAAATTACTTAAATGATATTATATGGGTGCTATAAATGAAAAGTCAAAGACATGAACTTCACACATAAAACATTGGGGACCTCAAGAGGAATTTACCCTTAATATTTGGATAAATATATATGTACCGAATTTAGATTACCGAATTTGTTACCTACTCTCACATGCACTCAGACCCGTGTGCATTTAAAAATTCCAGCGTGTGGGACCCGCCCTCCTATTGTAAAGAATTTGATAAAAAAGTAGATGTACATCTAGCATTATCTTTAATATCTATCATATTTCTTCTACATATCTCTGTGTGTATATATATGTATGCTACCTCAAGACGTTCTTCATTCATATCAACCAGCCCTCTCTCTACAACCATAGTCTCCATTGTATTTTCCCAACTTTTTTAGTTTAAAAAGAAGCCAATATGAATGAATTACCGAAATGTGAAGCCAATTATGTACCTCTTACTCCCATTACTCTCTTGAAGAGAGCCTCTGAAGTTTACGGGGATCGTATATCTATAATATATGCCAGTGTCCGTTTCACGTGGCATCAAACTTATGAGCGGTGCCGCCGCCTTGCATCTTCTCTCCGATCACTTAATGTCGGCAAGAACGACGTTGTACGTATTTTCTACTGCAAATAATATTGCATGGTGTCTAAGTCAAGATTTAAACAAGTTCGAGTCTTTCAACTACCATTTATATTTTGTTATGTATTCAGCAAATATTTTATATAAAACAAAATAAAATTAGGTATGCATTTGAGATTTTAGACAAACTTTTGAATAATTGCTTTTGTGGTTATTTTGTTCGTGCAGGTTTCTGTATTGGCTCCAAATATTCCAGCCTTGTATGAAATGCACTTTTCCGTGCCCATGGCAGGGGCTGTGTTGAACACTATTAACACAAGACTAGATGCTAAAAGTATTGCCACCATTCTCCGGCATTCTGAAGCAAAGGTTTTCTTTGTAGATTACCAGTTTGTGCCACTGGCTCGCGATGCCCTTCGGCTTCTAATGGATGATTTGCAGATATCTGGTAATTCCTCTGAAATGTCGATGCCGCTGGTTGCAGTAATTGATGATATCGACACCCCCACCCAAGTTCGACTAGGCGAGCTCGAGTATGAGCAACTAGTTTATCAAGGTGATCCAGGCTATGTCCATGAAGAAATTAACGATGAGTGGGATCCAATTGCCTTGAATTATACATCAGGCACAACATCAGAGCCTAAAGGAGTTGTGTACAGCCACAGGGGTGCTTATTTGAGCACTTTGAGCTTAATATTGGGCTGGGAAATGAAGAGTGAGCCTGTTTATTTGTGGTCACTCCCCATGTTTCATTGCAATGGCTGGACTTTTGCTTAAGGCCCAAAATTAGACTATGTCCCTATTTGTTGCCAATTATTTGGAAAGTTAAAGAGTTTTGAATAATATTTTTTGGAGAATATGTTGTTAAATAGTAAATAAATTTTATTGATTTGTGTGTAAAATATTTTATTGTATAAATATGTGATAGAAAATGATATTATAACAAACAATTTAAAATTTTAAAGGGTACCAAATAGGCACTAAATAATGAAAAGAATTTAAATCTTTTTTTATTGCATATTATTGTACTATCTAACATAATTTAACCTACCAAAAAAGTCGGTGATGTTCATCTTTTTAGTTTTGGGAATATTTTCAAACACCACGAAAAATAAAACTAATTCCTAATACACATTTGAACCCCGCTTTTTCCCAAATTACTTTATTTTTTATTTTAATCTTTTTACATAAATTTGTAATACAACGTGTTACATGATAATTCAGCATTTCTTGTCAAATCTCTCTTTATGCTCCATCTGTCACGAGGACCAAATAATAATAATAATAATAAGGACGATACTACACATATATCAGGATGTTCATAACGATGTATTCCTTTTACATGAAGGGAGATTCACTTCAAATAAAATATAATTTATCCGAAATAGGCCCCCCTCTATATGAGGATGATGGACACCTTTATAAACACCACATTATGCACAAGTACTATATTCCTAATAATAATAATGAAAGAGAAAAATCTGTAAACGCTTTTGTACAACTTATATTATTATGGATTATTTTACTTGTACATAAAAATGATATATAAGCTATTACCAAAAATGATGTGGTGAGAAAAGATTGGATGAAAAAGTAGATTATGCTTTAAATTCACAAATAATAAAGTACCATGTGAGTATTATGTAATCATTTATATAAATTTTGATGTATATAGAGTAAGGTCCTATAATTATTAGAGTTGTATTACCCCTGTGATCCAGTCATGTGCTCTAAGTACAAAAAAGTCAAGTACATATTTCAAATTCAAATCCCAAAAGTTTGAAATAAATAAAAATTCTTCTAAATAAAAAATGGGAGGTGATTTTAGGGTTTTCTTTCATTTTTTCATACTTTTCAATGTAAATAGTGCGTATTATATTCGAGTAACTTGTCAAATGTCAAATTGTACAAAATTTATTTGTTGTCCCACTTAACATGATTCAGAAATATTAAGGCATGTTTGATGACCATTATTTTTGCCCTCGTTTGGCTCCCTTTAAAACTCATCAATTTAATTTAAAATTTCTTCTCTCCTATTTTCAACTACACAATTTTCAATAAAATAATATTTCATGCAAATCGAAAACTTTTCATTCATTTATAACCATCTAGTTTTCAAAAAAAAAATACTATTTCCCCCATTATAAATCCAAAGAGTAATTGGCACAAAACATCCATACCTTTCAAATTTATTGTAGAAAACGTCCCAACCTTTCATTTTTTGATATTTTCGCCCCTACCTTTTACATTTGTTTACGCAGAAGATCATTTTCATTAGCTTTTGACAATTTTACCCTCCATTCAAATAAAACAAAATGAAAAAATAATAAAGAACTAATTGCAATAATAATTCCAAAATTTCAAAAAAAAAATGACAAATTAGTCACAATTTATTGTAAACTGAAAATTTTTAAAATTACCCAAAAAAAAAAAGGGAAACTTGAATGTATAGAGAAATAATCAAGAAATAGAGAAATTTTTGAACCATAGCCAATGAACTGAAAATCTTCAAAAATGGGTAAGCATAAATCTCAATTTTTATTCAGTGAAAAGTATATGGAAGGCTTAAGACAAAAATCATGTAATCTTCAAAAATTTTCATTTTCATTGATTATGATTGAAAAAAATTCTCAATTTCTTGATTATTTTCCTGTACATTCAAGTTTCTTTTCTCTATTTGTTTTAAAAAATTTTAGTTCACAATAAATTATGACTGATTTAAAATTTTTTTAAAAATTTGGGACTATAATTGTAATTAATTCTTTATTTTTTCTTTTCTTTTCTTTTTGTTTCATTTCAATGGAGGGTAAAATCGTCAAAATGACCTTCTGTGCAAAGAAATGTGGAAGGTATGGGCAAAAATGTCAAAAAATGAAATGTATGGATGTTTTCAACAATAAACTTGTAAGGTATGAACGTTTTGTGTCAATTACCCTAAATCCAAATAATGAGGGCCAAATGGGGCTTGATAAAAATTAAAATGATCTTTTGAATAGTGATTTTTTGAAAAATTTGGGATGAAAAAGTAAGAAAAAGTTTTGGGTTCACGGGAAAAATATTTATTATATGCATGTATGGTTGAAAATGAATATAAAAATATAAAATACAAGTAGTTCAAGTATTGACTCAAGATAGTTCTTTTAGATGAAATATATCAAGAACTATGAGCCTATTTGAGCTCCATTTTTGACCAAAAATGTATTTTGAATTTGTAGATTGATAGGAAATGTGTGGTTAAAAAAATGTTTTGTGTTTGCGTATAATATTATTTTATTAAAGAATGTGTTATTAAAAAGAAAATGCATTTTGAAAACAATGAGGAACAAGCAACAGAAAAAATTATGGCCGTTGCAAAATGAAGGTTGTGAGATAAAAGTGAAAAAAAGGGTTAAGTGGGGCACTTAAACAGTAACATTTTTTTTTTGTAAAAATGAGGTGAAAATGGCAAACAAACATGGGATATAAGTATATTTCAAGTGGGGTTTGGTTTAGTCCCTGTTTGAGCTCTATTTGAAGAAGAAGAATGCATTTTGAATATCATATTGATGGAAAATGTATGATTAAAAATTAAGAAAAAGTTTTGAATTTCTATGTAATATTATTTTATTAACAAATGTGTGATTAAAAATGTATTTTGAAAAAATAAATTTTTAGAAAAATAAGGCTCAAACGATAGCTTAATTCCAAATATTCCACATGCAATTGGAATGTAAGTACAAGTCCAATTTGTGAGCCAAAGTACAATTTTGCACCAAATAATTGTACAAAATCCCTTCAATGTAGCATAATGCTTTGTACCATATCGCACGAATATGGTTAATTACAATTTTGTCATTCTTTTTTACTTTTTTAAGAAATTGATTAAGGATATTTGTGTTTATTTTTGTTATACATTTTTAATACAAATTATTATTATTATTATTATTATTATTATTATTATTATTATTATTATTATTATTATTATTATTATTATTATGTGCATTTGTAATAAATTTTAATAATATGATTAATAATAATTAAGGAATTCATTAAAATAAGTATACTAAAAAAATTAAGGGCATGTTTCGATATTGATTTGAGAATTGACTTTTTTGACCAATAGAAAAAAAAAGTGAGAGCCACCTGTAAGTGAAGAAATAAAAAATAACGATTGAAATAGTAAAATAACGATCAAAAAATTAATTTTTTAGGTGAAAAATTACTCTCAAATGGGGCCTAAAATGCAACAAACACGAATATTTAAAATCAACACAAAATATATTTCAACAATCATATACATACATCACTCTAAAATTATTTAAAGAAAATGATACATTCAACAAGTGAATAATTTAGTAATCCGGAAGATCGTTTCGTGACTATCTAATGTTGTCAAAATAATTATCAAAAAACTCAAATGAATTTTCAAATCTTTTACCTTGCTGTTGTCGTCAAAATGCATTAATAGAACATCGTAGGATAATATGAATTCTGAGAATTAACTTGCAACACTATTTCGACTTCATCATATCATGATATTGGATTCGAAATTTTTTAATGACACGATTTAATATTTTATTATTTGTAGTGTTTCTATTAATTGTACTATATTTTTTAAATTTATTAATAAATTTACCCCCTGTTTGGCCTCCATTATTTGAATTTATAATGAGGGAAATAGTATTATTATTATTTTTATTTTATTTTTTTAAGATTATGTGGTTGAAAAGTTTTCAATTTAAATGTAATATTATTTTATTGAAGATTGTGTGGTTGAAAGTAGGTGAGAGAAAAAATTTAAGTAAATTGAAGAGTTTTAAAGGGGGCCAAACAGTGGCTTAATATTTTTGTTACTTTAATGTAATTATTTATTTACTAAGAGCCTATTTGGGAGGAATTTTTTACCCCAAAAAATTGATTTTTGATCATTATTTCACCATTTCAGCCGTAATTTTTTGACTTCTTCTCTCACAGATGAACCTCATTTTTCTTTTAACGGTCAAAAAATCAATTCTCAAAACACTTTCCAAACGGGGCCTAATTCATGTAGTTGTATGTTTATAAATAAATTGGTAAGAATGAAAAAAATGAAGAAAATGATTAAACACTTTTTATTTTATTTAAGTTTTAGTGTAATAGGATGGAAATTATTTTCAATTTGATGCAAAATAGTGCAAAAATTACCTAAAATTTTGATGTAAAGTTGAAGATGGTCCAACCCATAACCTATTGCACCAAATTTCACTAATTTGCACCAAAAATTTGGTGCAGTCACTAATTTTGCCCTTCTTTTCATATTGCATCAAAATTTTGTTAAGGGTATTTGTGTCTATTTTTGTAATACAAGATATTTTAATTCTTAATTAGATTGTTATTATTATTGTTATTGTTGTTGATGATTATGTGCAGATCTATGATATAGAAAAAGAGAGAGAAAAAAAGACTTAAAAGAAAATAAATTTAGTTATTATAATCCTTCTATTAAATCTATTTTTTCATGTCATCTATCTATTTACAGTGATACATGTTTTTAATTACAAAAATAAAGGCCTAACCATATTGCTTCTTTCTTCGTTTCCTTCCTTTATTATTATTATTATTATTATACAAAGCTAACGCGAACGCAACTTTCGAGTGCTGCAAGTTAAAACAATGTCAGCAAGTCTTTTGATGGGGATTGGTGACTTAAATATACAAAAAAATAATAAATAAATAAATAAATAAATATATATATATATATATAATAAAACAAATTTCATTTTTCCTTGTTCAGTGACATTTAGATAACGTTGAGAATT